TCTACAGTATGTCCTCCTCCGTTCACAGTAACTCATTTATTCACGCATCTCTCTGGTGTTGTTCGCAGAGTTGACCCGACTGTAAAAATACCGATTTTATAAAACAAGTTAAATTATTTACAGTAAAACTATGACTAAATGTAATTCATTCAAATGTTGTTCATTATATTCAGTATTAATTACAATTCCGTGACGGTGAGAATCCAAGAGAATGCTACTCATGTAAAATATTTACTTTATTAATGTGTTAATTAATGCCGCCATCTTCTTGACTCAAGTACTTTCTGCTCTTGTTTGACAAATTCTTCTTCTTGGCTTGTAAATAAAAGGCTGCTAATTGAACTCTGGATCACACTGACCCTTTCCACCAGCTCTCTGAGGTAAGCCTTTCCACCAGCTCTGAAAATATCCAGTTAATGCTCTCCTTATTCTGCCTCTGGTGGAATTAAGTTATAGTAAATAGTAGATTGCAGTCAACTTCTAGGGGCCAAAACTTCATCTTTTGAGGCAACAAAGAACACACCCTTTGTCCACAAACTATCTGGGAAGCACAGATTCTTTTTTTCAAACACAAATGTAAACATGTAAATTCTGCAGGAATTGTTTTTATTTCCAAGTCAACCATAGTTTGTGTTTTCATTTAAAGATGACACTGATTATTAAAGACCCATTTTGTCTTTGAACCAAATGAATTTCACTCAAGGAAAAAAGAAAATAATACAATACTCAACATTTAGTGATTATGAACAAAACATTATGGATCAAACATAACTTGGTAAAACTACCAGGCTTCTTTTTGCCTGAGGCAGCTTGTCTGTTTAAAGGTCAGTTTTAAATCTCCCGCACATTATTAATGCAGTGAGAATGCCAAACCCAACCCACACCCAGTATCACCAGTTAACCCAATACACAAGTTCTTTGCTGAGCACTGCCAGCATTTTGGATCCAAAGTCTGCTTCCTGAAAGTCGTGCAAGCTTTCCAATAGGAATCTTCAGTGTGAGAGTGATTTTCGTCCCTTAAACATGCGCCGCAGAAGCACCTCGATGCCGCTTCGTGAGCTGATCCTCTTGATCCAGCCGTGGGTCCTCTTGCGTTTGATGTTCTTGGGCTGATACTCATTGCCTCTTTTCCGTGTCCGGACCTGCTGGTATTGCCACGGAAGCTGCTGAAACACTCCTGAACCTTCAGCTTGTGAAGAAAGCAGCCCACATCTGGAAATCTGAGGTCCTGCAGCTGCTCTTGGCACAATCCAGTTGCTGAATGATCTAAGGTGAGAGGTGCCTGTTACAGCGAGGTTCCTTACAGGGGTGCTGTTGAAAGATAAAAGATTATTAGAACATTTCATTATCTAATATCAAGATTATACCACGATAACACTGGGATTACACTCAATATCTAATACATTGATGGTGCTGCTACTTGTGTTTGGAGTAGTCACTGATGGATGCATCCCATTTCTTGGTTTCCACTATCAACACAATTGTGAAATTTTGTTTAGTCATGAATCACAACATAAAGAGTAGATCTGGCTTTAATGTAAACATGTTGAAGGTGGTGTGGTCTGCAACTACCATCAGTCACTTTTCAATCTGCTGCAAATGAGGCTACAAAGATAAGATAAGATATTCCTTTATTTGTCCCACAATGGGGAAATTCCAATGTTACAGCAACAAAGCGGATAAAGAAAAAACAGTATAT